TTCATTCCACCCTGGCACTGTGTATTGAACAAAACTTTTGTGTAAAATTGTGTCTCTTTCAAAGTTTGCAGTCAATCACACCAACGAAATTATTTTACGTACTGTTGAAGTGAGCAAACTTTCAAATATATTATATAGAATATACATTTACACATTTCTGATAACATTTTAGTGTCAATCACAAAAGTAAATGCCTTAAGAATACAAAGGTTCAGTATGTAAATAAAACTGCTGCATACTAATTCAACAGAGATTTTTCCAAAAGTATTAGCATAAATTTTATAATGCTTAATTTCACATTTTGTCGCATTCTTTATATGGCAGTTAGGTTATGCAAACACTTCAGTGGATTTTTTATAGTAACATTATCTAATCAATTCAATATTTATCGAAATTAAACATTTTTTCCAAATTTTGGTGATGGAGTTAAAGCTTGAATATTAGGCACAGAAATCTAGGTGCTAAGCAAGCTATTTTTAGCAAACCAGTTCCTAACACTGTTTTCCAGCTGCTACAACCACATGCCATCTACATTATGTGATTTCATGTTGCTTCTTTTAAGATTAATGCTATGCAATAAAATTGAAAGCCAAGAATATTTTACATCCACTGCCTATCAAAAAAATTCAGTAACTTTAAAAATAGAGGGAAATCAATTAGATTAAATAAGCCACCCACAACCCCTGCTAAATGCAATATAGTTATGATTTTAAGTGATGTGGATCACAAATATGTCAAGGTTGTATTACTGCATAGGAATCCAGAATGATGGATATACTGAAATGCAGCTAGCCTTCTCCCCCACACTTTTAACTGGTTATTTCTGAGGCAGGGGGAAAAAATTAATGGTCAATCTTCAGCTTTAACTTTTTAAAACAAGAAAAAAAAATGCTTTCCTGTTGGACACCCAAAGTCTCAATACAAATGGAACTCAAGGACTTTTTAATGTGAATTATGGGTCATTCATAGAATGGAAAAGTAAGGGTAGGAAAATCACTGGCACTATAATGGGATCCCCCCTTTTGTTGGAACCCTTCAATCACCTTGAAAGAGAACCTTGAGTGGGTCTGCCCTATAGAAATGTAGTCACTAGAGCTGGACCTGACCAACCCAGAATATTCCAACTTGCTGAGGTGTCATTACAGGTGGTTTTGGAACAAACTGAACAACAAGTCCCCGGGACCAAGTGGCATTCACCCAAGAATTCTGAAATAATTCAAATGTGAAATTGCAGAGCTACTAACTGTGGTTTGTAACTTATTCTTTAAATCATCTTCTGTATTTAATGATTGGAAGATAGCTAAACTGACACCGATTTTCAAAAAAGGCTCTAGAGGTAATCCTGGCAATTACAGTCCGGTAAGTCTAATGTCAGTATTGGGCAAATTGGTTGAAACTATAGTGAAGAACAAAATTGTCTCACACAGATGAAAAATGGTCATATACAGATTAATATAATTTGTTGGGTGAAAATCAACATAGTTTCTGTAAAGAGAAAACATGAATTACTAATCTACTATAATTTTTTGAGGGGGTCAACAAGCATGTGGACAAGGGGGATCTAGTAGACACTGTGTACTTAGATTTCTAGAAAGCTTCTGACATGGTTCTACACCAAAGGCTCTTAAGCAAAGTAAGCTGTCATGGGATAAGAGGGAAGGTCTTCTCATGGACTGGTAACTGGTTAAAAGATAGGAAACAAAGGATAGGAATAAATGATCAGTTTTCAGAATCGAGAGAGGTAATACAGGGGTCTCTATTGGGACCAAATCTATTCAACATATTCATAAATAATGCAGAGATGGGGTGAATAGCAAGATGGCAAAATTTGCAGATAATACTAAACTTCCCAATACAATGAAGTCCAAAGCAGACTGTGAAGAGCTTCAAAAGAACTTCACAAAACTTGTTGACTGGGCCACAAAATGGCAGATATATTTTAATGTTGATACATGCGAAGTAATGCATGTTGGAAAACATAATCTGAACTATACATATAAAATAATGGGGACTAAATTACCGTATTTTCCGGCGTATAAGACGACCCCCGATTTTGGGGGGATGTTTTTTTAACATCAAAAGTCGTCTTATACGCCGGGTATGCGGCTTTGCAAAGCCTCGGGGGAAGGAGGCGGCGGGGCATCCCAGGCGCGCCGGAGCTGCCCCGCCGCCGGCTTCCCCCGAGGCTTTGCAAAGCCGCATACCCGGCGTATAAGACGACCCCCGATTTTGGGGGGATGTTTTTTTAACATCAAAAGTCGTCTTATACGCCGGGTATGCGGCTTTGCAAAGCCTCGGGGGAAGGAGGCGGCGGGGCATCCCAGGCGCGCCGGAGCTGCCCCGCCGCCGGCTTCCCCCGAGGCTTTGCAAAGCCGCATACCCGGCGTATAAGACGACCCCCGATTTTGGGGGGATGTTTTTTTAACATCAAAAGTCGTCTTATACGCCGGGTATGCGGCTTTGCAAAGCCTCGGGGGAAGGAGGCGGCGGGGCATCCCAGGCGCGCCGGAGCTGCCCCGCCGCCGGCTTCCCCCGAGGCTTTGCAAAGCCGCATACCCGGCGTATAAGACGACCCCCGATTTTGGGGGGATGTTTTTTTAACATCAAAAGTCGTCTTATACGCCGGAAAATACGGTAGCTATTACCACTCAAGAGAGAGATCTGGGAGTCACTGTGAATAGTTCTCTAAAAACATCCAGTCAATATGCTGGAGCAGTCAAAAAAGCAGTAATTTAGAAAGGGATAGAGAGTAAGACAGAGACTATCTTATTGCCTCTGTATAAATCCATGATACACCCACATCTTGAGTACTGCATGCAGATGTGGTCACCTCATCTCCAAAAAGATATCCTGACACTGAAAAAGTTCAGAAAAAGGCAACAAAACTTTTAGGGGTATGAAATGGCCACCATATGAAGAGAGATTAATAAACCTGGGACTTTTCATCTTAGAAAAGAGGAAACGAAGGGGGATATGATAGAGGTCTATAAAATCAAGACAGGTGTGGCGGAAGTAAATAAGGAATAGCTATTTACTTGTTCCCCATAACACAAGAACTAGAGGGTCATGAATTAACAGGCAGCAGGTTTAAAATAGGGAAGTGACAATTCAAATGCTTAAATGGTTAACCTATGAGCCTGGGCTCACTGGTTAACCTTCATGGCTACACACAAGCTCTCCCCCTCTTTCCAGCGCTACTGCTTCTGACACAGAGGCAACAATGTGGGGAAGGAGAGATGGCAGCTCCACAAGAGCTGGCATACGTGGGTGGCCGACTTAAAAGCTGGCTCCCCAGGTGCACCAGCTCCTGCAGAGCTGCCCCCCCCCAGACACGTGTACATATATATATCTATATATATAAAAATAAAATTGCTAAAAATGTTACCAGTTGGTGTTTACAAAACAAAATACTTTATACTTTTTAACATTCCTAGTTTAAATCAACAACAAAGAGTACTACTTCACACAACTCACAGTCAACCTATGGAACACCTTGCCAGAGGATGCTATGAAAAATTCAAAAAGAACTAGATGAATTAATGGAAGATAGGTCCATCACTGGCTATTAGCCAACATGGGTAAGAATGGTGTCCCTAGCCTCTGTCAGAAGCTGGAAAGGGGTGAAAGGGGAGGGATCACTTGATGGTTACCTGTTCTGTTCATTCCCTCTGGACACCTGGCATTGGCCACTGTTGGAAGATAGGGTACTGGGCTAGATGGGCCTTTTGTCTGACCACATATGGCCATTCTTATGTCCTTATGTCATAATCTATATCTATAATGTGTAATGTAAGGTATGATATACAAAGTGGTAACACAATGTTCCTGAAAATCACTGAGTGATGTATACATGCAGGCTGTGTTCAAAGAATGATGTGATGGAATTATGAATAGGAATCCTAGTTGTTTTTACAGATACAGATTAACACAGCTACCTCTCTGAAACTGGACTGTGTTTGGTTGTGTTATTGTTAAGACTTGCTCCATTACAATGTTAACTTTGATCAGAATGAAGCTCAATAGAGTTCTGTGGTCCCACTGGATTCACCCATCCCCCTAGGAACTGGGTGTTTTAAGCCAGTGACATCTTTTTCAATCACTTCATGAAAATTCCAAACACCATTAATGCCAAGAAAACATTGTTTTTATATATCTTAGGAACAATGAATTCCAACATACTCTTTATTTCTATTTATTGTGTGCATTACTTTTGCCTGAACAGCACTAGCTGACATGACTACATTATGTGAACACATTTTTGTTATTTACATTTATTGTAAATGCTATGTTCTTTATTACCATATAATCTTGGAGAAATAAAGCTTCAATGGATCATAAAGATCTGTGTTTGGGTAAGTGCACTTATGGTTGGAAATAGTGTAAGGGTTTTCTATAGGCTCAGAACACTGCTTTTGACTATTATTAATAGTCTGACTGCAGATATAAACCCGTTAGTCTTAATGAGTCTTATCAATCTTGAATGGGATGCAGGTCACAATGTTTTTTAAATAGGAGGGTTCAAAAGTGCTACATGAAGCTGATAATAAGCTATGCTTGACTATTATGCTACAGACACACCATCTTGTGAGATACAGAAATAACTTATTTAAAAATATATCAGTTCCTATTAATCCAATGTCAACCTGTATACTGACCCATGTTAAAAAGCTTTGTATAACGTACATACTGAACATGCACAATGTGGAAACAACTAGCAAATGAATGAATAAAAGCACAGGAAATTAAGAACATAAGAACACTAGAGGGGCTGTGCCTGTTGCTCACTTTGCTTGCCAAGCTCCCTCTCTCTGGTAGCTTTCGCAGCCAGAGAGCGTGAGAGCATGATGACATCATTCTGTCGCCTGGCAGGAAAAACTTTTGTATATATAGAGAGAGATAACAAACATGGGTAATAACGTGTAAGGTTACATAAATCAGTTACAAGAGTTTCTATGATATTTTGTAACATTTCTATATTTGTATATAACAAAATAACTTACAGCTTTTGAACTTCAGGCCATAAGGTATTCTGCAATAAATGATCTTCTGTGGGAGGTTCTACAAAACATATGTATACATTTTATTTACATTTAGTATAGTGTTCTTCTTTACCAATTAATGTCTCTCTTCAAAAGAGTAACAACCAAAATTATTTGTTATAATTCATATAAAATACCCTTTTATGTTGCATACCTGTAAGAATGAGGGGTTGAAAATAAATCTGACGATACTGATTGGAAACGCTATTAAATATTCCTTCCTTATCAGCTGGCTGAGTTGTCATATCTCCTGTTCAAAATAAATATTTAATTCAGCCAGAGAGAAAATATCTGACCTGAAAATTTGGTTACATATAAGTAAAGAGATCCTATTAGCATTAAGACAGAAATTATCTAGATGAAGATGTATCTATTTCCAGTAATATTCTAAAATGGAAATTAGTTTAAGTAGCTAATGTACATCTAGGAAAATTGGGGAGGGGGAACCTTTGTCAATTAAATATATAGTATGAAATGGCAATATGTCTTACTTGATGACTTTCTTTCTGGGACTGATCTCTCCTTGGATTATAGACATTTGGTCTGAGGCAGTTCAGACAAGGGATGTGAATGTTTAATTGGTTAACCAGTTAGCCTCACCCATTAACCAATTAAATGGGATTTTACATCCTTAGTTCAGACTCATCCACAAACAGGAGTTGGCCATGTGCTTCTCCCCGTGTACCAGGAGAGTATTTTCAAAGATGTGTGGAAACACTAAGGCTAAGATTTTAAAAACAGATGCCTAAAGTTAGCCTTGCAAATCTATATTTAAGCTCCTAATTAAAGAGTTAATTTTCTAAGTTGACAAACTCTGCATTTCCCATGAACTTACATATAAGCTGTTGGGTGCTCAGCACTCAAATACAGTCAGTGCCTAAAGCTAAAACAAATTAAAATGTATCTGTTAATCTGACCCTAGAGAGAACATTGAAAAGATACAAAAGAATGTATTAGGTAGGGGAAACTCAGAGAGACAGTCTCAGAAATGGTATTATCAAATAATACATTTTCAATTCCGGATGATGACTTCTCCTCCAGAAAAGATACCTGGCATACAGAAAGCATTAAGAAATCACACATAAGCAGGGAGGAAAAATGAAACAGAAGAGAAAGGTTCTCCCTTCCCCATAGTCACCATCTCTTATCTATTTTCAGACACTCTTGGGCACCTTCATGGTGCAAGATGCTTCTGCAGAGTAATAAAAATCAAGCCTAGAGTGATTTACCAAATTGTTGATAGTGTTAATGGATGACTAGTTGGCATTCTTACAGATTTTTTTTCTGTACTAGCTGGTTCCCTTTCTACCTATCCTACTTTGGAATGTGTTGAGTGGGCGCTGAACTTTTCTGTAATTAGTTTATTCGCTTGTAAAAATACTTCAATGGACAGAATACTTTTTGGCTCCTCTCAGGCCCAGACATGTAAGGTGAAAAAGAACATATAAAGAGCTTTTCCTGAACTGATCAGGTCCACAAATATATAGTGTATATTTTAATTGTTTTTAAAAATCATCATAATCATGTGCTCCACTTGTTTTCATTTGCTAAAGCTTTGGGATATGTGAAAAAGTATTAATCTCAGTTATGAATTATTTTGTTCTACGAACTACTTTGCCTGCATGTCTCATACAATCAGAGATTTAGAGAGAACTTTTGCTAAAGTGATTGTGACCAAGAAACAAGTTTTAAGAACAGATTCCAACGAGAAAAGTTAGGTCTAACTATTCAGTTGAAGCCTTAATAATATCTGTAATGGATGTTGGTTAAGCTTGTAAAGGATGAATGATTTTTAGCTCAGGTGTGGAATGTGAGGACCGGCAGTATTAGGCCCAATTCTAGGCTGTTTTATGAGAAATCCAGAAGAGCTGGAATATCTAGATTCTTTGGACTAATAATTTTACATTGAAATCCCTAGAATGTTGTCTAAGCTCTTGTGTAGGCTCAGAGGTTACAAAGCCAGTGTGAGTTAAAAGTTTTACTGTAACGTACCATCCTATCTGATTTAATATGAGTTGCTCAAAAGCCAACCTGTCAGATTCAGTAAACCTGGATTAGTACATAGGAGCACACACTGTCAGAGACCTCTTTAGACCACTAGAGAGAGAACAAAATCCTGTGAGAACTCCACTAGGTTGAGATATTATAGCAGTCTTGACCATCTGGAAGTGAAAAGACGACCACTTCCTTTCTAAATCTTTTTAACCCCGATTCCCTGGGGAGATACCTAGACCCTTTGTGAGCTACTTAATCTGTCTTGAAAAACCCCTGATCAAGGGTTTCATGTTAGTGTTATATGACAGACTGGATATTATTAAACTTGGAGGTGGCCTAACTTAGTTGTCAGCTAGAAAATATCTTGGTTATCATCTAGAAAATGTCTATTTTGTGTTTTATACGCGGATAGCTTTTTTTCTCCTTTTTTATGTGTTGAAGTTAAGTGCCACCTTTAGCTAGATCACTCTTATGGAGAACAGGTGAGTCTCTTGCTCTGAGAGGCCCTGTTTCTTTGTCTAAGCCATCCTATATCAGCCCTTTCATTTACATACGTCAGTATTAAAAATTCCTAAGCCTGTCTCTGATGGCAAAGAAAGGAGAAGTTATTGTTGTCACTTCTAAACTTCAGAAGATCATTCAAATAGGGTGTGGGTACCAATAAAAAAGCCTACCTACCCAGGTAAATGCTCAACACTAACAACAGTTCCAGGTGATCTTAAATGTTCATCAGTTGTATGGCAGCAGACTTAGTCATGTCATTAAACAAACTCTTTTAAGATAAATATTGATGTAAATTAATATGGAAGTGCCTTCACTATTCCACAACAGTCTTACCCTGAAAGATAGCTTTATTGGACAAACCCAAAGCAGGTACAGCTGCACCTTCTGGAAGTTCAATAGTTTCCTGGTTTAAAAAAAAAAAAGTTAACATATTATGAACAATTTTTCATGCAGAAATTAGTATACTTCATGGGTACTATAAAATCAAGGGCCAGATTTCACCAGAGGGAAGTAAAGATGTGTCACATTGTAGAAGAAATCTCTGAATCATCCAGAATTCCTCAGGGAAGTATACGCTTGAGCAGCTGCTCTGCCAGATTTTGAAAGCCTTTGCATGTGTCAGCCCCTCCTCTCAAACTACATATGGTGAACTTTGATGTGAAGCATACATCTTTAATCATTTCAGCACAGGTATTCCATAGTAACTTATCTTATTCCAGTATACACATTCTTAGAATCATAGAGTCCTAAGGCTGGAAGAGACCTCAGGAGGTCATCAAGTCCAGCCCCCTGCCCAAAAAGCAGGACCAACCCCAACTAAATCATCCCAGCCAGGACTTTGTCAAGCTAAGACTTAAAATCCTCTAGGGATAGAGATTCTACCACCTCCTTAGGTAACCCATCCCAGTGATTCACCTCTCTTCTAGTGAAATAATTTTTCCTAATATCCAACTTAGACCTCCCTCACTATAACTTGAGACCATTGCTCCTTGTTCTGTCATCTGTCACTTCTGAGAACAGCCTGTCTTCATCCTATTTGGAACCTCCCTTCAGGAAGTTGAAGGCTGCTATCAAATCCCCCCTTACTCTTCTCTTCTGCAGACTAAATAAGCCCAAATCCCTCAGCCTCTCTTCGTAGGTCAAGTGCTCCAGCCCCCTAATCATTTTGGTTGCCCTCCAAGGGACCCTCTCCAATGTGTCCAAATCCTTTCTGAAGTGGGGGGCCCAGAACTGGATGCAGTATTCTAGATGTGGCTTCACCAATGCAGAATAAAGGGGAATAATCACTTCTCTAGATCTTCTGGCAATGCTCCTCCTAATGCACCCTAATATGCTACTGGCCTTCTTGGCTACAAGGGCACACTGTTGACTCATATACAGCTCTACATCCACTGTAATCCTCAGGTCCTTTTCTGCTGAACTGCTACCTAGCCAGTCAGTCCCCAGCCTGTAACAATGCTTGGGATTCTTCCGTCCCAAGTACTTGTCTTTGTTCAACCTCGTCAATTTTCTTTTGGCCCAATCCTCTTATCTGTCTAGGTCATTCTAGACCCTAACCTTGCCCTTCAACGTATCTACCTCTCCCTCTATCTTAGTGTCATCCACAAACTTGCTGAGGTTGCAATCCATCCCCTCATTCAGGTCATTAATGAAGATATTGAGTAAAACTGGCCCTAGAATCAATCCTTGGGATTGCTTTTATAAAGTGAATACTGAACTTAAACAACGCCGTTTCCAGGAAGACAAGATCTGGAAACTGGGAGTTTTGAGATTTGTGTAGAAGGAAAGATTTTTCTGGGCGATAGGAGATAAGAGTACATGACTGGGATTTTCAAGTAGGCTTCTGGTGCCTAAGGGGCAGCTTTGCTTTAGGCACATGGCAGGATAGGAAGAGAGAAGATCCTGCTAGATGACTGGCAGTTTGCAGCAGCTATATGTCAAATAAAGGGAAGTCCTGGAAGAAAGCAAAAGAAAGGAAAAGGAAATCAGGTTGGGGAACTTTTCACGGATGAGGAGGCAGAGTGTGGGAGGCAGAGACGAAGGAGATCAGTACCTGCTCGTTCATATATGAATACGCTACAACTCTATGTACATTCACCAAATCAAAAATATTTCCAGGACTGGATTAAGATTTAAAACCAATACCTTAGCTGATTAAAAATATTTAATTACATCATAAAGCGACATCAGAAACCCAGAATACAAATGACAGTCCCTAAAGTCTTGTTTAAAGGGGGTTATTTTAGTATAAAGCATGAATTTAAAGCAATACAACTGTTCTGGGAATAACCTCATGTGGACACACTTATTTTGGTAACAGTATCTCAAGTCACAAGGCTGATATTTAAGCTAAATTTAAAAAAGCCAGTTTTATATCAGAATAAGTGTGCCCAAACAGGGTGTTATTCTGATAAAACTATACATAGAAAGATAACTATGTACAATACAACTGGTGAAACTTTCCTGTGCAGACAAGACCTGTAACAAGTTCTGGAGTACTGTAGGTCACAAAGTACAGGCAGTCCCCGAGTTACGCTGAATCTGGACGCCAGTTCCGACTTACATACAGATTCAACTTAAGAACAAACCTACAATCCCTATCTTGTACGTAACCCGGGGACTGCCTGTACAAAGGGATAACTGTGTAATCAAACAGAGCATCTGTCTACATCATACAGTTCAGTATGTTATTTTGTATTCTGTTGTTAACATGATTTACAGAGTTAAAGACAAATAATGAAAAATAATATGAGTAACCATGGGAGAAGATTTTTTTTTTTGCTGATATTTAACATATGGCATTCTGAAATGTTCAGACACTATCAGATTGCTTCAGCCACAGCAGAGAGAGTTCACGAGTCTGCAGTGCAGAGAATATGTTAGGGAACGGCAAGGCAGCCAGTGCTCGGTGTGCAAATAGAGAGCAAGAAAGACTGAACCTGAGAAAGACAAAGTCTATTAAAACAAAGCAAGTTATAGCAAGAGGGGGAAAAAAGGGATCTTAAAATGAACAGAAAGCTAGTGAAGTTGTTTTAGGAAAAAGATACTGTAGTCAAGTCTCTCTCTGTGGATAAAAAGCAAAGCTGGAATATAAAAACCTCAGTTTGACAGTTTGAAGACAGTTTGAAGAGACAGCAAGGAAAGAGACAATGATGAGAAAGTATATAACATTTATATAGAGTATCTAATGCAGTATCTTATGGGAGTCTGAATTGTTTCAAAATATACCATTAAAGAACAACTACCTCACAACAGTAACTACCTCTATAAAATTATATTATGCCAATACACTCTTAAGGACTAATCACAAGATTTGTTTTGAATTGTTTGTTAAGAGTAGCTTACATTTGCTAATCTTTACTACAAAGCCACATACTTTAAAACCCTAAGCAACTTTCTTTCTATCTAGCCAATTTCATAAAAACAAGAGATAAAGTAAAGTACACACACACCTGACTACACAGAATGCAAAGAAAAATATCTAAGAGCTGTGGTTTCAGGATTTTTTATTATTTTGACATTTTATGAATAAAAGTTATGCAGTAGTGATAATTCTTTCCCTCGTCCCCCAAAAGAGCCACTTGTTTGTTTAAATACTTACATTGGAACACAGTTTCTCCACTGAAATACCACTGATGTTACTGAAGTTTTCCACAAAATTTTTGGGGGCAGTAAACACTCGAAGCACTTTTTCATCAGCTCCAGAAACAAACTGAAATCGGCCGGTCATTGCTAGACAATGCAAGTCATATCCATGGACTTGAGGCCTTGCAATTTCATGCCAAGTTACCTAAGTAAAAAGCAACCATAGTAAAATGACCAGTGTTTAAATTCAGTAACAGATTAATCAATCATCTTCAAACTAAGGTTCCTTAAATATCGCATTAAAGTTAAGTTAATCTTCTGCTGACATTCTTTAAAATAAAAAAAAAAAAACACTATCAACTCACCATGCCATGACTAAAATACTTCAACTGAAGAATAGCAATCTTAACAACTCTCCCAACAATTAACTAGAGGGGATAAAAATCAATGATTTAAAAAAAAAAATTAAAAATCAGTTTAAATTGGATTTTTTGATAAAATGCTATTTTGAGGAAAAAACCTCCCTAAAGATTGTTTTAATTAAGAACAGCGAGTAGTCCTGTGGCACTTTAGAGAATAACAAAAACATATATAGTATCAATTGTCTTTTTTGTAGTGGGTCTACAGCAGTTCATGATGACCTCTTGTACAAATGCACAACATGCAGGTTCAAGACGAGTCAGCCCATCAGAAGCCACGCCTGGAGGTGGAGCGTCCATAGATTGGGATGATGTGTCTGCCTGTTCTGTTGCGTGAGCAGGGATGACACCAGCAGGAAGCGCCACAGAAGAGCTATGCTCATATGTAGTAGGTACAGATACCATGTTTGTCTATGCCAACTGGGGGCTATGAGAATGACCCTGGCCTTATCCGATTTGATTTTGAGAATTACCTGTTGGAGGAATGGAAACGGAGGGAATGCATAAAGCAGAAGTGTTTCCCATTTTATGCTGAACATGTCCCCTAGAGAGTGGTGGCCTATCCCGGGCCTGGAGAAATAATTGCGACATTGGATGTTTGACAGCCTGCAAACAAACACAAAGTGGGGAATCCCCACCTTTTGAATAGGGGAACCAGCACTGAAGGGTTGAGTCCCCACTTGTGATTCTGCAGAAAATGCCTGCTGAGTTGCCTGCCGGCACCTTTTCTTTGCCCAGCAGGTAGGCCGTGATTATGTGGATGTTTTGTGGGATGCACCACTCCCATAGGTAGACTGCTTCCCAGTACAGTGGATAGGATCGCCCTCCCCCCACCAGTTTATATAAAACGCTGTAGTGAGGTTGTCCGTGAGTATTTGCACTGTCCTGTTCTGAATTAAGGGGAGGAAGTGTGAGCAAGCGTTGCAGACTGCTCTGAGTTCCAGCAGGATGACGTGTTGCTTGGCCTCCCCCTGTGACCATTGTGTCTGAATGACATAGTGCTCTAGATGGGCTCCCTAGCCTATCAGGGAGGCATCCATGGTGGTTGTTACAGACAGCTGTGGGGGTTGGAAGGGCACTCCCTTGCAGACATTGTTGTTAATGGTCCACCAAGAGAGAGCAGTCTTTATTTTGGAGAGCATAGCAAGCTGTTTGTTGATATGGTGGACATGCGATCTGTATACCATGTGCAACCAGGCCTGTAGTGGTATCATACAGAGGCACACGTATGATACCACAAGCATGGCTGCTGCCATGTGTCCCAGAAGTAGAAAGCAGTGACATGCCATAATGTGTGGAATGTCCTGTGCTAACAATATGAGGTCCACGATTATGGTGAATCTTGTTTTGGTAGGGATACTATTGGGGGTAGGCAGTCCAGATGCCCCCCCCTATGAATTCTAAGCTCTGGGTGGGAATGAACATGCATTTCTGTAGATTTATTTGGAGCCCTAACCTGTCAAATAGGGCTCTGGTGCCTGTTCTGTGTTGCATGCAGTAAGGCCCTTCAGTAGGCAGTCGTCTAGGTATGAGAAGATGGTAATCCCCATCTTTTGCAAGTATGCTGCCACCACTGCCAGGACCCTGAAAAAGACCCAGGAGGCTGTTGAGAGTCTGAATGGCACACTCAGTATTGGAAATGGAGGCCTCAGATGATGAATCGTAGGAAGTGCCTGTGCGCTGGGTATACAGAGATATGAAAATAGGCATCCTGGAGGTCGAGGGTAGAGAGCCAGGCTCCCCTTCTCCACCCCAGGAGTGACTCTGGGTTTGAATAAACTGATTGAGCTTGTGGAGGTCCAGAATAGGCCTCCATCTGTCCATCTTTTTGGCTGTGAGGAAATAATGGGAGTAGAATCCCTTGCCCCTGTGATCTGGGGGTACATGTGGGAGACAGCCCACTTTGTGTAGGAGCATGTCTTCGTAAGAAGGGTCCCTGAAGAGGAAAGGACAAGGGGGTAGGAGGGAGGGGTAACTGAAAATGGGATACAGTAATCCATTTGGATAATTTCCAGCACCCATTTGGTGGTGGTGAAGATGTGCCATACTGGACAGAGTGAGGCTAGTCTGTTGCCAGATATGGATAAGCTGGATTGCTGCCTTGGAGGAAATGGGGCTGACAGCTCCTCGACCAACATTTCAAAAGGCCTATTCTAGCATGGCTGGCGCTTGCTGTTATACTGCCTATGCTGTTGGTTAAAGGGTGTTGGTCTCTATCTTTGCGTAAATGACCTTTCCTGCTTTCTTCTTGTGATAGGAAAATGGATGATAATCGTGTTGAGCGTGGTTCGTTAGTCCCTGAAGGTATGAAGCAAGTCGTCAGTGGACTCAGTGAAGAGCTTAGTGCCCTCAAAGAACAAGGCCTCAACTGAGGACTGTACCTCTCTGGGGACTCCAGAGAGCTGCAGCCATGATGCCTGCCTCCTCCTCACTACTGTGGACATGATGGATCTAGCCATTATGTCAGCTGAATATAATGTGGCCTAGAGAGCTGTTCGTGAGATTAAAGTCCTCTCATTGATGTTTGATTAAAATGGCTTTCTTTTGTCTGGGAGGAATTCAATAAAACTTGTTAACTAGTCAAAAATGTTGTGGGTGTATTTTACCAGAAGTGCCATGAAATTGGAAATTCTGAGTTGCAGGCGGGCTGAAAAGTAGGATTTCCTGCCAAACAAGTCCAGTGTTTTCCAATCCCTGTCATAAGGGATTGTGTAGGGTGTATGATGTCTGCTCCATCACAATTTGTGGCAGTGTAAGTTGACTTGCTGGTGCTGGATGCTTAGCATGGAGCAGTGCCATTTGTCTCCTATGCGCCACTGGTGCCGACTGCTTTGGCGGTGCCGATGGTGCCATGGGTGGTGACCGTGGTCAATACCGACTGTATCCTTGCTGGTGCCGATGTAGAGGTGTCTTGAAGGAGGATCAAACCTTCTCCTTAGAGTCTCAGCCCCTGTCAGTGCCGGAATCACCAGCGGCTTGTTTTTCCAGCACCTTCGGCGCAGCCGGTGTCAGGGCAGCCTTCTTGTGTAGAGAGTTTTCTTGTGGGAGAGTTAGCCCCTGAGGAGGAATGGGATATTTTATTGGGCACCTGAGCCCTGTCAGAGTCTTTAGGCCTCGATCTCGTGGGAGTCACTCTCTCAGAAGCTGCATCAGGAGATGGTTGCCTACGCAGTTTAATGTGCTCTGAGCCCAAAGCAGGTTGGGCCATTTTCTCAAGAAGCATCATTTTCAATTGGAGCTTCCTGGCTTTCCTGGTCCTTGAAGTTAACTTCTTGCAACAGGGGCACTGGTCAGCAGAGTGCTCCTCACCCAAGTGGTGGACACATTGAGAATGTCCATACAAAATAGGAATGGACAACCTGCTGGTTATACACCTCTTAAAACCAGGCAAACCAGATATGTTCCAGGAAAAAAACAGTTGCTGGAAGACAGGAACCATGAAGCTAAACTAGCAGTAACTACTCTAGTTGCCCTAAGAAAATCATTTTTTTCCTTTTTCTTTTTTTAAAATTACAACTGTGAACTGTTAAAACCAAATAATAAACAAGAAAAACTGCTACTAATAACTAACACTAACAAATGCTTGTGGGCAATTGCTGGGCTCTGACCAAAGCCAATGGCGGTAGAGAAGGAACTGAGGGGATGGTTGGCTGCACATGCAGAACAGCTGTTTCAAAGTTGTGTGTCAGTAGCCTTGCGTGTACAGTCAACCATGGGCATTGCTACCTAAAATGTCCAATTAGAAGCGCAGCAGCGCTACGACACCAAGGCTACGTCTACATTGCACACTCTTGCACAAGGAGATTTGCAAATGAGGCACCATTTTTTGCAGGGGGCTTTTGTGCTAGAAGGAGCAGTCTATACTGCTCCTTCTTGCGCAAAACCCCCCCTCTTGCGCAAGAGCCATTCTTCCTCATTTTTTCGGCTCCTTTTGTGCAAAAGCCTCTTGTGCAAAAATGTCTGCTAATTATGCAAATAAAGCGCAGCAATATTCTACTCTGCACTTCATTTGCATAAGCTTTTGCAGAAGAAGGCTGCAGTATAGACATAGCCTATCTGTAGGTGAAGTACCCACAGGGACACTCCTTGAAGAAGAATGTACATTTTTACTGGAGAAAATTTCAGCTTAAACATTTGCCTCCCTTGAATGTGGCAGCCCACAGCATCATGGGGCCAGAGTCTCCAGCAGCCCATGTCAGGGGCTGGAGCTGGTACCCTGTTGCAGCCCCGAGGCAGCATGGCGCTTGGGTGAAGTCCCACTGAAGCCCCTTACAGCGTGCGGCTGGGCCTGGAGACCTGTGGCAGCCACCTGGGAGCATGGAGTGAGGCCGGAGCCCCGTGGCAAATGGGCCAGAGTCTTACTGTACAGGTTGGACCTCCGTGGTCCAACACCCTCACGACCTGACTGGTCCCGAATGGGAGATTTTGCCGGACCAGGGGATGTCATTTTTGGACCCCTGCCACTGACCCCCATGGCACATCCACTGGCCTCCCAGCCAGCTACCCACCTCCTGCTGGCCCCGCTGCCCTGCTGACCCACTGGGCCAGTACTGCTGTCCTGGCTCCAGCGGGCAGCCCAGCACTGAGGCTCCAGGCAGCCAAGCACACCACACCAGGGCTCCATGAGCAGCCCAGCACGTCACATGCTGTGACTCTTTGGGCAGCCACGTGTGCACCAGACACCAGGAGTCCCAGCCCACCAGCCTCGCAGGAATCCTTACTGCTGGCCCTCCACCAGTACTCTCTGGTCCTGCAACATCCATGCCGGACCATGGATGTATCTGGACCAGAGAATCCCGATTAAGAGAGTATCACTATACAAAAATATATAAAGACAGTACCTATGCTGAAGAGCTTAGAAGAAGATGAGGAAAATCTACACAAGTTACATGCAGCCTAAGAATTCACCATTGCAAACAACTGGGAAGTTTGAAAGATCTTGCAAAACCTCAAAATCTCTTTCAAAAATAATTTTGTGAACTCATAAAAAGAGGATATGATATAAACAGTTATATTTAAGTTCTTTTCCATTGTTTATTAAGCTATCTGTTCACTTGTTTTCCTCAACACTATTCTGTAGTCAGGCTCAGACAAAGAGTTTGCGGAGCCCAAGGCAGTTGGCTGTGCTGTGTAGACAAGTGGCTCTCAGCCAAGGCACTGAGCGAGTGGCCAGGCGGGTGCCAGGAAGCATGGGACCTAGGCAACCGCCTTGCCCAAAGGCCAGGCCTGTCTGTGATTTTGCAATGATTTGCTTAATGATTTATTTCAAAATTAGAGTGTAGGTTTGGATGATTAATGATTCATTTTGTTTTGCATTACAAATCAAAAGATATAAACAATAAATGGAGACTCCTGAAAAGGTGACCAAAGATTTTACTGAAATGGAGGATTAAAGAGTTAAAAAGCAACTAACAGCTGTGATTAAGAGACATTTGGTTGCAAATTTTTCTGTGGATATCTGAGAAATACCTGTTATTTTTTTTGTATTTTGCTCAACTTTTATTTCACCAATAGATGTCACTGTCCTCAACAGTAAACATTACGTACCATATACATTTCTAATTTATGTATCGTAAACTGAAAACTATTTAAGACATTTGAGAATTTCAATATTAAAAATACAGTACAATGTAATAATTGCATTAACTTATTGAGGTCTCATTCATTCACTATGCAAAGTATAAATAGTAGGGATGTTAGATATTGTGTAAATGAATATTCATGTAACTGCATGAAATCTTAGCGGTTACAAGGATATCTGATAATCGCTGGGGTTGGGGCTGACAGCCAGTGTGCTCCTGGTCCGGATTCCAGGGAGCCCCTGCCACCCCGCACTGCTGCCTCCATATCAGATGTAGCAGCACCAGGTGGCAGGCAGGAGTTGGTCCACCAGGGGAGCCCGCTAAAAACCAGGTCCCTGCACAAATCAGCTGCCTGCCGCTCCACGCTGCTCAATACACAGGAGGTCCAAGTTCCTCACGGACAGAGGTTGATCCATGCGATGCCAGAGCAGCCTTTGTCTGTGGGGACTGCTCAATACGCAGGAGGTCCAAGTTCCTCATGGACAGAGGTTGATCCATGTGATGCCAGAGCAGCCTTTGTCTGTGGGGAGCTCAGACACACAGCAGACAGGGGCTACTGCTGTGGAACACCCTCTGTCTGCAGCTAGCCCAGACCACCACTGACAGAGACTGCTTTGCGGCAGCCTCCCCTATGGGGAGGGGAGGGGAGGGCAGACCACACTGCAGAGCTGGTGCTGGGGGGAACCAGCTTTTAAGCAAGCTCCCTCCAGCACCAGCTCTTGCCTGCCCTCCCTCACTGCCTCTGTAAGAGGTGGGAAGGGCGGGGGAGGGAGGGAGACAGGCAGGTCTGCAGAGCCAGCACGTGCAGGAAACCTGTTTGAAAGCTGCCTCCCCACATGTATCCACTCCAGCCTTCCCCCCTCACCTTCCGCACTGCTGCCTCTGTATCAGATGCAGCAGCTGGGGAGGGAGAGGAGGCCAGGCAGATCCAGTGCTCATGGGGAGCCTGTTAAAGTCAGCTGCTCACAGGCACCGGCTCCTGCTTTATCCATCCTGAGTTTTAATACCCCTTGGCAAAAACTTCCAAAGGGATTACCTCTGTCTGGTGTTTTCTTTTCCATGGAGCAAAAAGTCTAGTAGTTTGATCAGAACCAACAGTGATGATAAATTCTCCTTCTGGATCCCATTTTATATCTTCTACACTATTAAAATGTCCTGAAATTACAACTTCTGGAGTCCATTCTTTCTATTAAAAACAGAACCCATATATTATACATATGCATGAGAGAGAACGCATAAACAGGAACAACTGATATATTTTGTATACTTTTTTACAAACAAAGTACTTGATTCTAACAAAGACACAAACAAACAAGACATCTGAAACAGAACAAGGCGAGATCAAGGTGAAGTGCCAGAGGACTGGCTGAAGAGGATCAAGTCTGGCTGGGAGCTACTCAGCAATTCTTCACTATCGGCAAATGTAAATGTTCAGAGGAGGTAGTTGGACCAGAGACCAGACACTAATGGTTTAGCTCATTCCCAAAGCTACTATCATTGCCTTTAGAAACCAAAAAGCTAAGAATCTGAGAAGCCAAACCTACCTTATTCTCCAGAACTGAGAACCCTGGAGAATTATAACTTTAGAGAAAGAATGGCTCTGTCATATAAAGTAAATTAAATGGGGGCACTCCACGCACATATATTTATCATGATTTTTCTACTCAACAGTATCAATAAAAAGGTTTTACCTTATTAGCTGGAATCTGTTTCCAAAGATGTAGTGCTCCATGAAAAGCATGAGCAAGAATCATTGAACCATTTGGACTAAACTGACAATCAAAAAATCCAAGTGTGTTACCACCCACTTCTCCTACACGGACCTGAATAAACAATTGAAAGTGAAATATTTACTGCTCAGTAACTAGTCTTTCATCAGTTGTAATCCTACCCCAAGACTAGCCACACAGAACAATTCACATTTTGCATACAAAAATCCATTAAAAGAGCATTAATTACACTGGGGGCATTCTGCACCACTGCACACGTAGAATACACAGATTTCTTTGCTCTGCGCCCAGAAAAATGACTTTCACAGGGAAGCAAAGATAAGTTGCAAGAGTGTTCACATGCCCATCCTCAGCAGTGTGAAAGCATATGGTTTCAGGCATCCACCAGTGGAGAAGTAAATCACTGCTGGGGAGGGAGAGTCTGGGGATGTCCCAACTCATGTCAGGTCAGACTCAACCCCCAGACTGCCCTTCACAGAGCCTCATCCTCCACCCTGCACCCAGAATACTCCCACCAAGCCCACCACTCCCAGCAGGGCTGAGAATGAGGGAGGAGCATGCTTACCCTACTCAGAGCATCTGGGCCAGATCAGTGTCCCCTTCCTTTCCTGCCTCCATTTCTCCTCAGCTGGGGGGGTGTCACCCTATAGGGAGCTGCTCGCATCTGTCCAACTCCTATGCACCCTGATGCCTCCATATCCAGACCCCCTTCACCAAATCCTACCCCCCCACAATCATAACACCCCTCATTGAGTTCCCAGAACTTGAATCCCCAACCTGATGAAACCCACCCCTTATGTACCTGGACAAGCTCCCCCACACCCACTGAACCTCAAGTCTGTGATAGAGCCAGCAGCACCCAGACCCTCACTCCACACATCCTTAACCAAGAATATTGCTAGCACTTCAGCTATAATTCAGTTTTGTCAGGTACAATATCTTTTGTTCAGCTGTTGCCCTTGAACATTAACTTTTCTATATTTTGCATACTATTATTATTCCACCAAGCATACATGCAACTTAGGAAACGTTTTCAAAGCAATATATTTCATCTGAATGTTGTCATAATAAATTAAGAGAAACAAACAAAAAACACAAATTACAATGAAACTTGAGGCAAACCCAATATATGTTAGGTTACACAGGTACACTAAGAAAAACTGACCCTTACCTGTTCTAGCCATACTCCAGATTCTTCATCTGGAGCCCACAGAATCATAGTTTTGTCCATTGATGCAGACAGTAGTCTCATTGGTTGTTGTATTATGCCATCTACAGTACAAAAAGGAAATTATTCTGCTACTACAAATTAGAATTCTCTTTAACAGAATATGGCAATATTGAAATCTAAATATGCTGAAAATTCAACTCCTGCATTGCAAAACTTCTGCTGAAAACAGTGAACAAACACTAGCCTTAACAAGATCAAGTTCTTAATGGATGCAAATCTCTGATAAGAGTATGTTAAAATATTGTTTAAAATATTTGTACTAGGGCTTTGCCAAATGAATGTATAAGAATAAACCATTTTATACTGTTTCTTTAATGTTAGAATTTACAAAGTTTTGACTTAGAGGAAACAAAAGCTATTTTATACACAGATAATATTAGAATCTCCAAAGTTATAAATCACAATTCCAAACTCTTTATTTGTAAATATAGTTTATTCTATTGTTTATATGTTATTAGATTACTATTGCTCGAAAGAAGGCAAAAAAAATCTCTGATCCTATTCACTGTTCTACAAATTAAAGCAGTAATTGTTGTGTCGCATATTGAGAAAAAATAGCTTGTTCCTTTATTTTTTTTAATCATTAATACTATAAGTAGGGAGAGAGAAGTGCAGAGGCAGTAAAGACTGTTTTCAATTATTTTTAACCAATTAGAATATTCGATGCATAGCTTAAAGGAATTTGTATCCGAAAAACAGACAAAGTCAAGAAATTTCTCTGAAGAGTTTGAATAATGAATGTGAGATTGAAAAAGAAATTTCAGAATGACAATATTTTATTACTCTACCATTTTTCTGTATCAAAGAAAAACAAGAAAGAGCTTTTGAAGGGTTAATATTGATCTTCTAGAGAGGATATTAAAAAAGAAATGTTCACCTTTAAAATCACAAATCAAACAAAGCCAGTACTACATGTAAAATATTGTCTTTATCAAAGCAATTCATATAAAAGACAAAAGCTTCATGTAGTGTACAACAGCAAATAAAGGAGGAACACTATACAGCAAGTCTTCATGGTACACGAAAAAATGTTCTAATGGTAAAATTACAGAAAATATACCAATAACTTCTCTGTGGAAAATCTTGCCCACAAAAAAAGTATATAACATATTATAGTACCATGTTTATACATTACCTGGTGAACTAGGTACTTCATGTACTTTCTTCCTACCTTTCAAAAATGAAGGCTGCCAGTGAACTGCATATACCCAATTTTCATGGCCAGCTAACACAGACTCCAGAATAACTGCATATGTGGTCTCAGTATCTACCATATAACAGAGGAAATGAGACTGCTCATTTTTCAATAGCATTTTGATAAGAACAAAGATCTTTCACATTTATGTTATGTTTTTGAGATTATATTTATAATCATACAAGTAGGCTTGAAAGGATAACTTTTTTTTTTTTTACCATACACACACTGATAAAAATATTTCCATCAATAATGACTGAAATGTACAGACAGGCAAAGAAAGAAATATAAGCTTACGACCTCAAGGGTATTTAATTCTACTATTTATTTTTAATTGATATGTTTTAACTTTTTGAATTTCAAGGTCTACTGTTAAATGACTATTGTCTGACTCTCAAATCCCATAATTTCCCCATGACTGAAAATTTAAAAAAAGAAGTTACGCACCTTGTGCAGTAACGATTGTTCTTCGAGATGCGTGTCCCGTGGGTGCTCGGCGCCGCAGATCGGAGATCTTTTCTAGCTGTAGTCTGCCGGACCACGCATGCGCGAAGTACGGCTCGTGGCTTTTCGCGCCGTTTGAGCGTTGGTGGTCCGGCTCCCACCAGTTCCTCCTGCCTCTTGCTCTGGAAGACACAAAGTAGAGAAAATTCCGAAGAGGGGAGGAGAGCGGGTCGTGAAGCACCCACGGGACACGCATCTCGAAGAACAATCGTTACTGCATAAGGTGCGTAACTTCTTTTTCTTCTTTGAGCAGTGTCCCGTGGGTGCTCCACTGTAGGTGAATGTACAGCAGTAGCTCGCGAATGGAGGAGGGTTCAGATCTAGCATGCCATAGCTGAGGATAACACCGCTGCCGCCACCGCCGAATCAGGTATTAAGAGATTAGGGAAGGCATAATGTGTAGCGAAGGTTAGGTTGGAAGACCACGTAGCAGCTCTACAGATATCTATCAAGGGAACTCCCTTGAGGAATGCAGTGAACGTAGCGAAAGCCCGAGTCGAATGGGCCCTCAGGGTCGAAGGCAGTGGTTTCTTTCGCAGTTTATAACAAGTTCTTATGCACTGTACAATAATGGAGGAGATGCGTTGAGCGGACAATGAGCTACCTTTAGAACGGTCCGCCATTGATATTAGTAGCGAGTCCGCCACTCGAAAGGGTCTGGTTCTCTCAATATAGAAGGCGAGAGCCCATCTGACGTCCAAAGTATGCAAGCGTGCGTGTTCTGGTGAAGTATGTGGTTTGGGATGGAATATAGGAAGGATTAGATTGGGGAATAGTCTTCTGAGACTAATGGTGACTCTTCACTAGAATCATTTTAAAATAGAAAAGACAAAGTACTAGAGTACAGTAGGCAGCACAGGAAAACAATCTTGCATAGGTAGGGGATGGACAAGGTAACCTAACAGGAAAGATTTTTCCCTTATAAAAATATCTTCAGTAACAAAACCCCAGTAAAAAGCCATATGCTAATAAATGTAATAATCATATTTTTGTAATACTGTAATCATATTTTTGTTGGTTTTGACGTCGGTCATGACACTTTTCAAAAATTCTGTTTATCCCACTTTAATTATTTTGTTGGATATGGCGGATATCTAGCATTTGTTTTATTGCGGGGATAGTAGGTAGGCATTTTCCTTCTCATCTACTACCACTGTATTTTTATTCTGTTGTGTAGGTTTGTGAGGGTGAAACCTATGCTTTAGAAGAAACTGGATCTTCTCTTAATGGAGACCATATATTACATTTGCAAATTCTCTGACTTTAGGAGATGAATAATGACTGGCATCTCTGATATTTCTAAAGTTAAAAAATTGCTGAATGCTTATATTTTAAAATCCCAGTCCTCTAGAGTATTAACTGTATGAGTACCCTGTTCTATTATGTTACAACAGAAGCTATCCATCTGACTATCAAAATCGCACTTCATTGAAAATTATGTCCATTAATTTAAATGTTAATTCTCTGGTAATGGTGGGGTGAACCTTCCATTTGAGCATACCGAAAAATGTTTGTTTTATTGTATTTTAATAAACCGTACCAACAGTTTAAATTGAAATAAAATATTTTACAGTTGTCGGGAAAATTTTATGGTGAATTAACTTATGCAGAAAATCTCCATTTGTTATTACAAAAAATCCTTAGCTATTTAGTAAAGTAGCTCATGAATGTGCTATCTTTCTTAGAGATTCTGGGTTTTTTATGCAATCCTATACCCAAGTTTTATGTTTTGTAAGTTTGTGTTACTACTAGCTAGGACAGCTAGCATTCCAACCGAGCTACTTGAAAAACAAGAAATACTAAAAGACAACTTTACCAAGGAATTAGAACCAAATATTCACCCCTCCCCCCAAACAACAAGAATTTAAAATTACAGTATCAGCAGTAATATCAGTCTTTGGGCACGTTTACAGTAGAAAATTAGGTCGATTTTATTTACTTCAACTCTAAGCATCCAATTTGACAAATGCAATTTTGCAGATCCTCACTAGGGGGCTGTGGTCAACAGAGCACATCTTCACTGTCAGGGTTGCATTCACCCAAGGAGTGATGCTCTGTGGGTTGCTATCCAGTGCTAGGGTTCCAATACTTCATGGAATGAAAACATTGTTGTGCATGGTTATGGGTGTTTGTCAGCCTCCCGTGTCTGCGGCTCAGAATCAGTCTTGAATTTGATCTGAGGAAGTGGGTCTGGCCCACAAAAGCTCATCACCTAATAAACCATCTTGTTAGTCTTTAAAGTGCTACATAGTCCTGTCTTTTCTTTCATCGTGAATTGTGGTATGCCTGTCTAAGCTTCTTTATTGTCACGCAGCATTACTGTGACTCCCTCATGTAGCCGTTATCCACCATGCTCTGTGCGATTTTGGCATAGATATCAGCATTTCTTTTGCTGGTTTGGAGCTCTGCCTGCACAGACACTTATCCCTCCCCCGATGGCAATCAGATCCACTATCTCCTGAACCCTCCATGCTGGTGGCATTTGTGATTCTAGACATGCATGCTCAGTTGTGCTGGTGAGCTCTTCATGCTGCTCCAACAGGAAATTAACACTTGAAAGTTCCCACAACTTTTCCTGCTCATCTGGTTGAAGAGCACTGGAGTTCAAAGTGCTTGCCAGGGCAGGGCAAGATATTCACATGATAGCACTCTGGAGGACAGTAACTCTGAATTACAATACACAGCGTTTACACTGACCGTATTTCATGGCATGAATGTCACTTCAGGCTTTACTCCACTCATTCAGGTGGAATGCAGGGGTCAATTTTAAAAGCCTGTTAGGTCAATGAGAAGGATTGGATAGCATAGACACACTCATTACAAATTTGACTTAATGCTGAATATCTCAGCCTTCACTCGTATTGTAGACCAGACCTTCCTAAAATACCTTAATCCAGTTCTATTATTAATGCAAAGAGGAACTTGTGTTTTACTTAGAGGCAGATCAATTACCTGCAATAATTCCCTGACTAGCAAGCACCATAATAGCTGTTAAGCCAACACTGAATATAGCACTTTGCCCAAAGTTCAGCATAGCTAAGGTAGCAGTAGTCTTCAGTGATGCATTTTCATACGTCTTCAAAAATCCATCATATCGCTGTGCTTCATATTTTTCATTATTGAAATACTACAAGATAGACAAAGGTAGAAAAGAGTGTCATTCTTTAAAATGTGCTAGATTCAAAGTACTTTAGCTAAACACATTGTAACATACTACACACAGACATGAATCAAGGCTTCAAAAGTATACTGGATCCATCTACTCAGTGGGTGATTAAGCCTAATACCCAAAGACAGGTTCAAAAGACGAGGATACAGCAGCCCAGCCAGGCAGAACAGGGCCATGACCTGCTTAGATGACCAGAGCCCAACTGGTATATTTACCAGATTGTATAATTTTTCGAGCTCTGATCATGAGGATGTTGCCATCATCGCAGACAGAAAAGATGGTTAACCAACACACAAGATGAATCCTCCAAGTTAGATCCAAGAATAACAATCTACTCTCCTGTGGTTCTTGCGCATGCACAGTATGGGGCTGGCAAGCGGTTTTTGCTGCTGTTTGTCAAGCCCTACCCATGATGTTACTTCTCATCCAATCTCTATTTATGGGTCCTTCTCCATAGGTAACTTCACTATTTGTCTCTTTTGACTTATGTCTTCCCAAGCAGTAGAAGCATGAAACAGATATAACTTTGGCAGTTTCAAGGTTGCCCACAGAAATCTGAATAAATCGAGATGCTTACTATCTCTGTCTGCGGCAGTAGGCTTGTGTTGCGGCATCTTTGCCTTTTGCTGTACTGCATCCACAACCAAGGAATTAGACTGTGGATGGGTGAAGAGAAATTCCATCCCTTTAGCAGGGACAAAATACTTTTTATCCGCCTTCTTATTCGTCGGCGGGGCGGATGCCAGCAACTGCCAAATATCGTCCGCAATTTCAAGAATGGCCGCGTCCAGTGGCAACGAAATCTTGGGCTGGTGAGTGTGTTTGATATTACGGAGGAGATGGTGTTGTTTTTGTTCCACGTCACCCAGCTGTACGCTTTGACTCTCCGCCACTCTCTTAAACAACTCCTGAAACTGGCGTAGGTCGTCAGATGGTGAGGTGTCTCCTTGAAAAACTGCATCGTTTGGTGACGATGAAGAATGATGCGTGGGTGATTGATCAGGTTCGGGATCCCGAACGGGAAGAGGTTGTCCGGTGTGAGAAGGAGACCCGGAGGGAGCTGGTGGCCTTGAAGGGGCAGAGGAAGCATGGTGCTTTTGAACGAGAGAGGTTTGCAGAGACCGGTGCTGATGAGAGGATGACCTATGATGATAGTAGGGCGACGTGGAACGACAGGGTCTCCTGGAATATCCGGAATGGGTTGAAAACGCTGGCGATCTTGGTGATCGTGACCTCCCTCTGTAATATGTGCTGCGACTGGGTGAGCGATCATGGTGGTAGGAGTGACCGGAATGTGGCGAGATTTGGCCGGTACGAGAGTATTCAGAGTACGGCGGAGATGGTGAACGTACTTCAGGAGAGAACTCAGGACTTGGTGATAAAGAAGATAATCTCCTGGATGTATGGGCCGGTGATGCCAGCAACTGTTCCGGTGGAGAGGCAGTCGGAGTGGAAAGCACAGAGTGAGGGATTATCTCCACTGGCATTGGAGGAATCCGTGCCGAGGTGGTCCGTGTCGTCGTAATTGATTGTCTCGGTACCGATGATTGCCTCAGTTCCGGGGATCGTCTCAAAGGAGAAGGCAGTCACGGTGCTGGTGGACGTCCTTCTGAGGGAAGCCTGTGGTGAGACGATCCTTTCGGTACCGAAGGGTGGCTCGGTGCCGGTACAGTCGATGACGGGGAACGCTCAGGTGCCGATGAACGTTTAAGCTTTGTGGGAGGCGATGGTCGATTCGGTGCCGACCATGTAGAAGGAGAAGGATGCTCAGGAGTTACCGAGCGTCGCCTTGTCGAAGGTTTCGGCGTTTGTTTTGGTGATCGTCTAGAATGAGCCGGTGCCGAAGTGTGCTCCTGTACTGAGGAATGGCTCGGCTCCGCAGGCAGCTTGGGCATGCGCCTCGGTGCCGGGGAGCATCTCGGTGCTGGGGAGCGGCTGCGGCTCGGTGCCGGGGAGCGGCTCGGTGCTTATAGAAGGGCTCGGAGCCGACTTACTCCGGCTGTCTTTAGGCGCCACCCAACGCTTGCAGGCGGTGCCGTTGATGTCCCTGGCTTGTCACCTGCACCCGATCTTGAGGGTGGAAGGGATCGCGCCGGTGATGGTTTCCTCTTCATTTCTTTAGTTTGCTCCGCGTGCCCCTTGGATTGTTTGACCTCAGGTTGCAGAGCTTTGTCAAACAAGAGGATCTTTAGGCGCATGTCCCTGTCCAGTCTTGCTCTTGCTGTCAGCTTGGAGCAATGGGGACATTTCTGGGGTATGTGGCCTTCCCCGAGGCACCTGATGCACAGGGAATGGCCATCAGAGGCAGGCATTGCCTCGCGGCATTCGCCGCACTTCTTGAACCCCGGCATTTAAGACGAATAAACTAACTATTTGAAGAAAAAAGATTTTTTTTTAAACGACTAGAACTATTAACTATATAAGAAATAGGTAACTTTTAAACTATGTATATAATAACTATGGGTTTTGTCGCTGTTGTTCTAGTGAACAGGGTTCACGAGAGAGATATTAATCCGTCCGCGGCTGAGGACGGTCAGGAGGAACTGGTGGGAGCCGGACCACCAACGCTCAAACGGCGCGAAAAGCCACGAGCCGTACTTGGCGCATGCATGGTCCGGCAGACTACGGCTAAAAAAAAACTCCCGGGACAGGCCCGACACCTACAGTGGAGCACCCACAGGACACTGCTCGAAGAAGAACAAACATTAAAAATGCTTTAAAATCCATTGATATTATCCACTGAAATACTAATAAAGACCAAATAGTCTGTGTCTTCAAAGGAGCTAAAAACTTTTTTTAAAAATGAAAGCAGAGATTCTGGAAAACAATTAAAGAGTTGTGTCCTCATCCTCTTAGCTACTCTTTGTCATGAGGTAATCCATACTTTGGGAAACACTGCACTGGGAAAGTAAGTTATATTATAGCTTCCTCTCCATCAAGTAGCATTCTTTATCCTTTCTGAGGTTGCTCTGTAAGATCTGAGTTCAATACCACTCAGCTATACATATGGTTGAATGAAAAGTCTGAAAAATTATCTCAATGCAGTATGGGAAGGACAACAGTAATGCTGCATTTGGTGTGGGACACAACAGGGCCACCATCTAGCCAAAACCTGTGGGTGAGGTCTCCATATTCCTGTGGATCTCAGCCATGAGCGTAAATGGAACCACCTCCCAGCAATTTCCTCTAGGAGATGGAATTAAAAACAAAGCAGAATTACATAGCTGATAAGGATGTTAGATATTGGATAACTGAATAGTTGTGTAACCGCATGAAATCTTAGCGGTTACATGACTATTCAATAGTCCCTAAGACTGGGGCCGGCAGCCAGTGTGCTCCCAGCACCACTCCTGGGGAGTCTCCTGCCACTCTGCACTGTTACCTCTGTATCAGAGGCAGCAGCGTGGGGTGGCAGGGGGGGCCAGGCCCGGGGTGATGGGGCTGAAAAATATTTTCCTTTGCTCATTCCTCATTGTTTGCCTCAAAACCTACAGTGTACATTGCTGTCTGTGGGCTTGCTGTGACTAAGCTAATTTTGGAAAACCCATGTTCCTACAGAAGGAGAACAGTATTTCCACTAACAGCAATATAGAGGCAGCAGAGTGGAGGGGTGAGAGGTGGCAGGCGACACCACAGAGCCAGTGCTGGGGGGAAAAGACGGCTTCCCCCAGCACCAGCTCCTGCTTCCTGATACAGAGGCAGCAAGTGCAGGGGAATGTGAGTAGTTGACAAGATTAACCAATAAACCTACACTCATCAGTTAATCGTATAGTTGACTATACATTGACATCCCAAATAGCTGAACAGCCCTATAGAAAACCATAAAAAAGAAGCATAGCCTCTACAGTTACATGATGCAGTAAGTGTGAAGAAGAGCTGATCTCATATGGTTAATATGAAGGTTTTGTCAGGATTATTTTCAGTGAAGTAATGGAGAAGTCATGGGCAATAAACAAAAATTCACATTAGTCCACACACTGTCTGTAGTGTTCTGCATTATCACCTTTTGTTTAAAAACAACTTAAATTAACAAAAAAAATTGAAAAACAGGGGAAAGGAGAACTTTTGTAATATACACAAAAGTACTACAGTATAATTGAAACTTTTTTCATGTACAAATGTACACGTTCTCTCTCAGAGCTAGTAGTTTTTCCAGAAATCTTAGTTTGCGTGTACATGCTAATTTGCTTCACGGTATCCTCACTCATGTTGAGCCTCTTGGTATCTTGGAAGTAATCCAAATTTGAAAAGTGCACTCAGAGCTGCAGGACAGAACAGTGTTTAACAAAAATGAATAGTCCCAAACATACTGATTAGATTATTAAATTGGTGTGACTATAAAAAGTGAACTCCTTTAATAAAAAACCTAATATTTATCATCTGGGAAAAAATGGTACAAACTGAAAACATGTCTGTGACTTTTAGAAAAAAGAACAAGACGGATGACAGCATAAGCCCTACTACAGGGGAGAGGGGTTCTGAGCCACAGGGGAGTGCTTCCTATCATGTGCGGCAGTTTGGAACTGCAGGATTAGTGGCTATGAGCTAGGGCTGAAAGCAACTTCCATTACCTCTATGACTTAATTTATCTTTACATATGATTAAATAACCTGTTGAATTATCTGAACAAAACACTGTAGTAATAAATACATGCAATTCCCTCTCTTTTCCCCTGTAAAGGCTTATGTGCATATTAAATCTTCTTAATATGAAAGATGTATAAACCTTATTTATTTTTTAAAAACTCAAGATGCACATTTGTCTGGTATTGGAGAAAACTGTAATAAACAACTTGCTGTATGTAGGACAGATACATACCTTAAAACCACAGCCTATACTCAGAATATTTATAGTTTAGAAGATAATCTCCACTGAGACTTTTCACTGATGTACTATTTCTGCAACAAACCAGACATACTACACAGTAAATGCTTCTATAACACATTTACTGTATTTTTTGCTACTGAGGAGTAAGAGTTATTACTGTAACTCATTTTCTCTTAAATTCTTCAAGCATAGGAATAAAATTATAAGACAGAATTCCCATTATCCCTACTGAAAGCAACAATTTGTACACTGGCTGAGAGAACGAATAGCTGCAGACACACCATTTCAGTTATTACCCACTTTTATTTTTCATAGTAAAAGTATTCTCCTTCAGCTTTATAGAGTCATCATCTTTGATTTCCACAGATAGTGTTGATTTTGCCTGCAACCGCCAGATTCTTATCAGACAATCCTGGGCACAGCTTGCTAAGAAAATATCCTTGCCTGTTTAAAAAAATAACGCAGTAAAAAGTAACGTTAAGACTCATCTCTTTTTGTTCTGACAAGTACTTTTGTTTCATTCTTATCATCCTTCGCCACTCCATACACATCTGATTTTTCCTTCTGTAAAAAGTATTATGAATACTGTTGTCCCTTTGATTCCAATGTCAACTAATTTTAACACAACAAAGCAAATCAGAACACAGTGACTCATGGGTTCTGCCTCACTTACATGGTAACAGACATATCCTGGCATTCACAATATTAAATCTTCAGCCTCAGAGTTCATCAGTCGAGGATACAGTGGTTACCGACTTAGAAAGAAAACCCACAAGTTACTGTTCTTGAGATGTGCTTCTCACTCCTGCATGTCCTCCTCACCTTTTTACTCTCCATGCTGCTTAGGAAGGATGAGTCCCTACTCTTGAGTATCTTTTTAAATTAACACATTTTAAGAATTCTCTTCCGTCTGTTGCCTCTCCCCTACATTTTCTACACAGCGAGTAATGTATTCAAATGCTGAATAGTGGAGTCTCCCAACAATTTGTGCTATTCTTACAAAGGGAGAAAGAGAAGGTACAAAGTTCCGAAAACTGATTTATTTTTTAGAAATAAATTGGGGCTGACTCACCATTCTCAGGAACAAGGATCACAAGGTTGGATAGGGGCAAGTTGCTGAGACAAGCATATTTGTCTGAGTTCAAGTGCCACAACAAATGACACATTAAAAAAGGAGGCAGAGCAAAACAAGGTGATCTATGCAGAGAAAATAATGTCATCTGAAGAAGTGGGGTTGTGCCCATGAAAGGTCATGATACTATTTATATATTTTTGTTAGTTTCTAAGGTGCTACTGGACCATTGTTGTTTAAGGTTTTTTTAGTTACCAAATTTGGGGGTCCTATATCTTACCATGTAAGTTCTTGGAAAAACGGACTCACCAACAGACATTCAACACATGGACAGACAGAAGCACAAACTCTCTAAAATTTTACGGTTTTATAAAAACGCAAACGTACGTACGAACGAATGAATGAAATCAATCCCACTGCAATTAACACGCAAACGTACGTACGAACGAACGAATGAATGAAATCAATCCCACTGCAATTAAGAGTACAAGAAATAACCACGCTGCTGTGGAGTTAGCATACCTGCAAAGCATCCCTGTATTCTGGGTAGCTGAAACCACTCCATTTCTGTATTACTTTACATTATGCTTTGTTTAATCTGAATATGTTGTTTTGTATAATGACCCAGATATTTTATAATCAGAAGTGCCATCTACATGAGATCAATAGCAAATATCATAAAAGCTTCTGTATATCAGAGAATATCCAATACTGGAGTAAAATGGCAATGCTAAAATAAAATATTCCTATGCCTAAAAGCTAATCCATACAATGACAACAGCTTTTCGTTGGACCAAGAACTGTGATCTAATGAATGAACAGGATTAAAAATAAAGATCAGATGGTTGTTTTTTGTTATTCTCATCTACAACTCGCTGCCTCATTAAACGTTTTATTGAACTTTCATACTGACCACAGACTGCCCATTCAATGCCTCTTATCCAATCTTCATGGCCATAGAGTATTAGTGTTTCCTGAAACTAAAAAGAAATTATCATTGCACCAAAGAAATCAGAACTTCAATGTCCAAGTTTTACATATCATACATACGCTTTTGGACAATTAACTCCTGCTCTTCAGATGTGATGACCATTTGGCAACTCCTATTAACTGGAATTGTGAATGACAGTTACTTGAAGAAGGCCTTATTGCCAAATATCATGTTCTTTTATGGGCCCTTTTGGTGAAGCTGCTGCTAAGAAATAACTTTAACAGATCATCTAAATTATCATCCCATTACCTAAACAAGGAAGATGAGTGAAAAATAGATGGAGGGGTTTCCCTACCAACTTTTTCTTTTCTATTATAAATCTTCCACAGAAACTTTGCAAATATTGTAATTTCAGAGGTCAAGCCTACTCCTGACTCCAACAAGAGTTTTGCCTGAATGAAACAGCAACAGAGCCATGAGCCATAATTGTTTATTTTTCTTATGTTGATATATATGCATTAGGGAAGTGAATGGTTAATAAGTTTACTAGTACGCCTCACCCTTAACTGGTGGGGGCTAGCTCACCTACCCACCTGAACCTGGAGAGGTCCAACATGTTCTTCTCCATGCAACCCCTGTCTGCATTGGGGACCCACTGCAGCCTGGCCTGTGGGAGTGAAGGGGAGGGAGCATGCTCCAGCGCCCCTCACCCCAATTGAATTGGTTAACTGATTAAGTAGGCCTCATTATGTTTAACCAGTTAACCAATTAAATGGGATTTTACATCCCTAGTACGCATACCCAATAAAAAGGAATGCCCACTTACATAGCCTGACATTACTAAAATTATCTTCACCCACTAATCCACATTTGTTTTGCTTGTCTTTTACAATTCACAGCCTTAACATTACATAGATGTCTCTAGATACAAAAGTATTAGGTCACTGAAAAGGCTTTTGAAAACACTGAATTGAAAAATGTTGTTCTTAACTGTACACTTGTATACTCATAACAAGGCATCCAACAGTATGATTACTCATCCTTTGGGGTATTTATACTCGCCAGCACTCAAGAGAGGGCTTGCTGGTTAGATTTTTTTAAATACCTAAAAGATTACAACAGGGCACGAACTGCACCACACATTCAGGAAGTAACTTCCAGCACAGAAGACAACCAATGAAATATGTGTCAGTGTGACAGAGCTAGTTGCATGTCTGTCCCCTTTCTGTATCCCATAAGGTTTCAGGCTTCATACCACTACCTCTTGTGGATGGTATTCTGCAGTTCTCCCACTCTCAGCTCATATTCCTGCACGGTAGTACCCAGCATATCAACTATTTCCCAGCAGGTCCAACTGGATTCAAAACCTCTGAGGTAAGAGCAAAGAAGATGCTGGGGCCATGGAGAAGTAACCCAGGGAAACAGTGTTGTATTGACAGAGGCTACAGAGGGGTAACAAGAGGCTCCTATTTATAGAGTCCCTAAGTTGGGGCCTGGAATAGTAGGAGGGCCCTGATCACTCATTTGCCACTGGGGAAGCAGCTGGACAATTGCCCAAAGATAGCTACCCCCTCCCACTTCCAGAAGGGGAAAACATAGATGACGATCTAGCTGGAGGGCTGAGTTGGTAAGAGGGTACTGAGGTTTGGGAGCTGAGAGAAACCACAAGTGGAAACAGAGTCAGTCTGCCAGTGTGCAAACTAAGCATGTGGGCAGGAGAAGGTGTCGGCCTAACGATGAGGAATGTATACCATGACAGTGCTGCCCTGGTAAAGGAACTGTTCTACTGTCTGGATGTTTTTGCCTTCTAATATTACGTTATCACTTAACATATGGGCTTCAAGGATGACTGTTTGAACCAACTGATTTTGATCCCTGCTTGGCCTACTGTTTTTGCCAAGGTATCTGTAGTTTTTAGGAATGTTAGTATACCAAAGTCTAAGTCTTCTAGGTATCTGCTTTCTATGCATGCTATGCCAAAGTTTATATTGCTAATATTCATTATCCAGTCTATAGAATGTGAAACAACAATGGAGACAAAAATGAAAGCCTGTTTCATGCCAATATTCACACTGAACCACCCTATTGCCTGGTTGTTCTCCTTTACAGAACACTTTACACCTCTATTCGTAACCCTGAAGTTAGTGATTTTAGCTTCCATAAAACTGACCAGCATTGCACAAGGTATGCCTATGCAGGCTGTCAAATTGATTTTGAAACTGATAAACAAGAGCCTATCATTCTATTCATTTTTCTATGATGGTTCTTATTGTGACTATCTGTTCTACACTATCTCTTGGGCCTCAATCCAGCCTGTTCTTTGCTGATAAAAGCTCAAACCTTCTCTGCAACACACTGATGTTCCATGCCTTCTTCTCACCTGAAGAATTTTATCATCCAGTTCCTAATTCCCAAAAAACAGGATCAAATGATTCAGCTGATTCTACAAGGCAAGCTAGTGAATTCCTGTCACAGAAGTATTATCCTCAGATGAGTCCCCACAACTATTTACTTATGCCACAGCACCACAATGTTGCTCTGAAATGGGAGTGTGATGTATGAATATCCCACACTAGAGGTGGGCAGGGGAAACCCCACCCTCTACACCCAGACTGGGCATGCTACAAATGCTAGAGTAGTATAAAAGGTAGTAGCTCAGTTCAGTCTGGGCTGGACCTCAGAGGAGACGAACCTCCTGCAGGAGCTCCAGAGACGAAGGAGACCGCCTTGAGCTGCCAGCACCAGAGGAGCCCCAGAGAGAGGCTCTGTTGCTGGGAAACCAAAGGACCCAGAGACCACTTGGAACATCCCCACATCAACTGTGATAAGAAGTGACCCAGGGAGTGTGCAAGACTGGTATCTCCCGCGCAGCTCAGCATGTTGCAGTTGGATTCCCTGCTGAGCAAGTAGGGGAGCACTCATACACTAGCAGGCCTCTGGGTCGAGGCCCAGTGGAGTAGGGAGGGCCTGGGTCCCCCCACCAGAGCAGCTGTCCGGAACTACTGACTCTGGCCATTAGGCTGTGATTTCCTGAACTGAGGGCTACCCTTACTGACTCTTGTTACTACTGACTCTAGCCATTAGGCCTACTACTTGGGACTGGAGGCTGTTGGTGCAGGTTGATAGAGGTTGCTGGTGATCCGGCAGCCAACCAGGCAGCGTCCACATCCCTGGGCATACACACCTCAAAGGATGAGGTGTGCACAGGGAGCATGTCACAAGAGGCACTACATTTTTAGAAGCATAGACTTTTCCAAATATTTGTAATTCCTTCTAAATGATAATCATACTCTATTCCAGAGATGGCCATAGTTTCTGACAAATATAGGTCCTGGGTGGTACAGACATACCATCTTACTAGTTTTTATTTTTATTGGAATGTCTATCAACTGTTTGCCTCTAGACATATTCCTGGCTTTCAGGAACCACTCCAGAGATCAAAACAATAACGTGGGGGTTAAAGTTCTGATTATATAGAGAACCAGAACTATTACTCCAAGTGATAAATCAGATTTACAATTTAATAATTTTTCCATTCAGCATTTTTTAAATGTTCAGTGATGCAATACATATAATGATAGACTATAATAGCTTGCACCTGTGCATGGTTTTCACATTCAGCAACAGGTTAAGTGTGTTATAGTAATCTAGATCAGAGATATCAAATGTATGAATCACTGTGGCCAGATCCTCCTTGTCTAGAAGGAAGGGACAAATTTTCACAGCAAGTTGGAAATAAAAGAAGGCATTATTCATGTTGGACTTTGAGTCCTCATACTACATTGATGGATTAATGCCTTCAATAGAAAGAGCTTGCAACATCTATGCTAGTTTTCCCATGGCATTTCCCCTTTCCAATCAGCAACATTTTGGTCTTGCCTGGATTTAGCTTTTGCCAGTTGCTTTTCATCCAAATACTGATAACGTGTAGGCACTCTAAGGGTACGTCTAGACTACAGGGTTTTGTCGACAGAAGTTTTGTCGACAGATACTGTCAACAAAGCTTCTGTCAACAAAGAGCGTCTAGACTACATTCAGTTCTGTCGACAAAAGCCTGTAGTCTAGACGTACCCCCTAGATGCAATAACACCTTCTGTCGACAGAACTCTGTCGACAAAAGGGGGTTATGCCTTGTAAAATGAGGTTTACCAGCGTCGACAAAACTGCTGAGTTCTGTCGACGTTGTGTTGACAGAACTCAGCAGTAGTGTAGACGCAGGTATAGTTTTGTCGACAAAAGTCCACTTTTGTCGACAAAACTCTGTAGTCTAGACACACCCTAAGAATGCATCTACACAGCAGTATTATTTCGGAATAACTGACGTTATTTCGAAACAACATAGTCTGCGTCTACACTACAAGCAGTTATTTCGATATAATGTCAAAATAATGTTGAGCTGGAGAACTTCTTACTCTAGCTCCTGTAGCCCCCATTTTATGAGGAGTAAGGGAAGTCAGAGGGAGAGTGCTCTCTCAGACTTCCTGCTATGTAGACAGCACCAAAAGCCAAAATAAGCTATTTTGACTTAATCTACATAAGTGATATAGCTTAAGTTGCATAGCTTATTTTGGCTTTAGCCCTGCTGTGTAGATGTAGCCTTACAGTTCTGTAGTGGTGGTAACTGCATCAGTTCAGGATGAGATATACAAATGAGTGTTACTGTATTGGTGGCAGCCAAAACCAGGGGTGTGTCAATATCTCTTCAGTGGTCTCATGTAGATATAAAAGTAGTGAGGGCTTTTAGAAAGGCCAACTCATCGTTCTTAGCTCTGCTGGAAAGGAATTGGATTACACCTGGATCATAAAGGGAGCTGAAAATCACAGTGGGTATTACTGGAATGAGGGAATAAGAAACAGAACAAGCTACTGGTATAACACTGTTAAATATTAAATTTATATTGAATTTCAAAAAAATTACAATGTTACTCAAAAGATTTATTTCATTGCATTTCATTAATTACCTAAAGCTACAAAGGTACACAGTTACTTTTAAAATTAAATATACAGATTGGACTGGTTTTCATTGATTCCCATGCTTTTTGGAGAGAT